GCAGATGCCAGCCTGCAGGCTGGAGTGGGAAACTTCTTGGAGAGCGAACAGTCTCCTGCATACTTGGAGCCTTGAGATCAACAGAAGCCTGTTGTTGACAAATCTCGGCAGTAGATACAACCAGGGGTGAGGGGACATGCCAGTGACTCCTCACAGGCTCCCTTCTGCATAGGAGACTTATAAAAAACTGGCTTGGAAAGCCGGGTGGTGGTGGTGCTCGCCTTTAATCCCAGCACTCGGGAGACAGAGCCAGGCAGATCTTTGTGAGTTCGAGGCCAGCCTGGTTTTCAGAGCAAGATCCAGGACAGGCACCAAAACTACATGGAGAAACCCTGTTTCGAAAAACAAAAACAAACAAACAAACAAACAAAAATGGCTTGGAAGCTATGAATTGGCCTGGTCGGATTCCAGGGAGGCAATGCAAGGTCAGGGGAGAAGCCAGGAAGCTGAGCATTGCCAGGGGCCTCTCCTTTGATCTAGGACCTGGGATCATCAGAGGCCCTCGCTAGGCTTGCTGTTTGGTCTTGTGTGTCCATCTCCCCACCTCCAGTATCAGCACACCCCTATGTCATAATAGAAAGGGCTGGTGAGACTTTCCAGAGCTGGGGTTGCTGTCTCATGGAACCAACCAGTTGGGTTTCTCAGAAGCAATGGACTTCCCAGCAGGTCCTTAGGAAGAAATTGTACAGACTCGGAGATTTCTGTATGTTTATATTTCACAAATGCGCTGCATCTTGGCTGTAGGGAGTAGGGCATGGTTTCTTCTGGTACCATGGCTTCAGTGGTACAAGCCTCCCTTCAGTGCCCCCATATTGAATTGGAATGGCCTTTAAAGAGGGCAGGAATGAACTGATCTTACTATGGTTGGTAGCAGATAGTCTCTGAGTATCTATAAAGGTCTAGAATATTCTATTGGACTATGCAGAAGGTAAAAGAAACTCATCTTTTAAATTAAATGAAAGTATGTCTTTTCAGCTAATAGTAAGGTATGTCTTCAATTCAAAAAGCATTCAGTCTGGCTGGAAAGATAGGGCATATGTATATAAAAGTATTCCCCAAGACTTCATTTCACCAAAGACCCGTGTGATTGAAAGTTGCTCCTCCGCTGACTCTTAGAAGGAAACGTGCTGTCATTCAGCTGACATCTTCGCTCTGCATCCTCACTTGAAGATGCTAAAGTCGGGGAGGTGATGAATGTTGAAGAAACGATGAAATGCATATTTAAACAAGGCTGTGCTACCTCACAATGGAGCTAACAGAAGGAGCGTCTAAGAAAACACCGATAACTAAGGATTCTGGCAAATGGAGAAAATGGGAGCCGAGCCTGATCCAAACCACTGAAACTAGAGGTCCCTGAAGCAGAAGGAGCACATTCCAGCAAATGGAAGCATTGCCCCTGGGGCCCCAGAGGCACACAGCGGCATGCATGCCATTTATGGCACAAGTAGGTCATTTAGGGTTACTGACGGTTAGTCCAAGAAGTTAATGAGCAAGGGTGGTACAGGTGCAGGGTTCCCAGGGAGAGCACACCAGTCTGAAAGATTACACCTGTCACTCACAGTTGGGCCCTGAAGGGCACCAGTTTTGTGGGAGAAACAGACCCCACCAACGGAGTCCTGCTCTGTAGTCGTTCACTCAGTGAGCATTACTGATTGAGCATCTGCTACATTCAAGTTATCTTAGAGGAAACAAGTAGGTTACATAAATTCTGCCCACTGAGGAGATTAGTGATTTGCTAAAATTACTATGATAGGCATCATGTTTTGCCCCATTTTAAAGATGACGGCGCAGAGATCTGGGGCTAACCAGTGGCGCACACCTCGTGAGTGGCAGAGCTGGCACTCAAATCCAAGGATCTGGGTGCCAGATCTCCCCCTGACATTCAGCAGACAGCTCCTCCGAGTACAGTGCAGAGTAGATGGCCTTGGTGGCAGTCTAGAGCGAGGAAGAAGCCTGGTGGTGGTACAGCTTGGAGGAGAATGCTAGGGTTCAGTCTGCGGCCCAGACCAAATGGTACCAATACTGCACAGGAAAACAGCAAAAGTTGCTTGGTCGGATAAATAATTACAAATGAAAGATCGGTTTAGGCTACAAAGAGATACTGAATGCCAAGGCTTTGGACAACTGGACAAAGGGGAGCCCTTGCTGCTTTTGAGTCAGGGGTTGTATCTGTGCGCTGGAGAGATTCATTAGAACTCTGTCCATAAGATGGATTGCAGCAGGAAGAAACCAGAATCAGGAAGACTAAGTAGAAAGTCACTGCAATATGCTGAACAAAAGGATTTTTGACCCAGGATAATGCTTCAGTTAAACCATGGTCTTTGCTTCTTATTAACCCCAAAAGATTAATGATGCACACTTCCCCAAAATACTTTTCCTATTTGATGTGTGAGCTCACTTACCCTTCTGAGCTTTCGTCCCAGCTTGGGCAGATAGAGCATCATTTGTCCTGTAACAATTGTAGCTTCATCTGACTACCACAGTTTGGAGGAAGGGTATCGGAGGAGGATCACAAGACAGGGGCCATCCCTTTCCAAATCTCCTGCTAGGCTAGCTCTGTAATGCATCGCTGCATTCATCAGCTCATCAAGAGAAAAGGTTCTCTTTGGCTCACATCTCTGTGGGTTCTAGTCCATGGTTGAACTTACTGCTTCAGGCCTGTGGTGAGGTAACAAATCATGATGGGAGCACATTGAGAAATCAAACCCACATCTCTCATGGCCGGGAACTAACTGTGTTCTCTGTGTCTCCAAACTGCACTCTTCATGTCTTTTAGCGTTATAACCTTTTTTTCCCTCTTCATCCTTGTTTTTACAACCTCATAAATTCTGAATTTTTTTTATTCATATGCATATTCGTGTGTGTGTGTGTGTGTGTGTGTGTGTGTGTGTGCGCGCGTGCGCGCGCGCATGCACATGCATGCTCGCATGAGCCAGAGGTTGGTATCAGGTGTCTTTCTCAGTCACTCTTCACCTTATGTACTGACAGACCTCTCATTTGAACCCCAAGTTTGCCAGTTTGACTAACCCTCTGGCCAGCTTGCTCCTGGAATCCCTTGTGTCCACCTCCCAAGTGCTGGGATTACAGGTGAGCTGCCACACCCACCCTAGGCCTGACGTTTATGTGGGCACAAGGGACCCAAACTCTTGATTCTCATATTGTGCAGCAAGCAATTCCCCCATTGAGCCATCTTCCCAGCCACAATAAGTCCTGAATTTTAAAACCATTTTCCTAATGATTTCCACCAAGATGTAGAGCTGGAAGACCTGTGATCTCCCAGACCCGACCTCTGCTGCACCGAAACGCACTGAAAGGGAGAAGCCCTTGTCTTGGGTGTCACAGCAACAGGTGGCAGATCACCATCCATCATGCCCTCAGCTCCCCGGGCCTGGCCCCTCTCCAGCCCTCCCTCAGATGGCAGCCTCTGGAGTAACTCTGGCCAGCATGTTAGCCACAGGTCATTCTAGCCATTGGGGCCTGATGGCCCCTCAGCACCATCCAGGCTTCTTACCAAGAGTTATCTTCATGCCTGATGAACAGTCTTTTTTGGTTGTTAAATGCTGGGCTATCCAATGAGAGATTAGGAGGCGGGGCTTAGACTGGAGTCGCGGACAGTTTATAATCCCCAAATGCCTGCTGGCAGTGTCTGTGCAGGTTCCTCCAGCCCCTCGAGCCCCTTAAATCCAGTGCATCCCCCTCAAATCCACACTGATCTCCCAGTTTCTTGGTTCATTGCTCGCTGTCATCCACAGAACCTGCTGTGCCGGCCCTGTCGCTCTGTCTCTGGCCACAGCGTCCAGCCCCTGAGCTCCATCTGCTTCTGTTCCTGGTGTCTATTCTTCCTGTTCTTTCTTTATTCCCGTTGGCAACCTGCTTGGGATTCCATATGGGGCTGTGATGACAGACACTTGCATGTAAAGAGGCGAAATGGAAGAAAGAGCACACCTCCCCTAACTCACTTTGAAACCCTTATGGTTTCAGAGTCTCAGGGTTCTTTGTAAATGATAGCTTGAACCCACAATCTGTCTGTCCTTGTGTAGTTGTGTGACTGTGACTGTGAGTGTCCAGCTGTGGCCCTCTATGTCTGCCTGGCATACCTACTCACTCAGCCCTCCAGCTGTGGGAGTCACTGTGGAAGGTGGCATCTAAGTAGGACAGACTCTGCTGACCTGCTCGTATTCTGAGCTGGCCGGGATGCTTGCCAGGCAGGGGATTTGCACTCTGAACTGGATTTCCTGGGTCATTACTATCTAAAAGGCAGAAGCTAAAAACACAACAGAAGCTACTAAAAAAAAAAAAAAAGTAAGACCCCTGGGGTAGGGTAGACGGCTCAGTCCGTAAAGTGCCGTGCAAACATGAGGAGCTGATCCTGGATTCCCAGTATCCATTAAAAAAGGGGGGAGCAAGTGCTGGGGTTTAGATCCATAACTCCAGCCCTGAGGGAGCGGAAACAGGCAGCCCTCTGGAGCCCGCTGACCACCAGCCTAGCCAAACTGATGACCTCCATTTTCAATGAGAGACCCTGTCTCAAAAAACAACAAGGTAGAGAATGATCAAGGAAGACACCCAGCATGAATTCTGCCTCACCACACATGCATACACACATGCACATGTACCCACATGTGCACATACTCACACCAACACACACCTACACCAACACATACCAGATGCTTACCTCAAAGAGCCAGCCTGGTTAAAATGGAAAGGAGAGAACTGGCAGCGAATGGGAACAGGTCAGGACAACAAACTGGTGTGTTATGACATGTACTGTTAGGCAGGCACCATAGTGATTGTCAAGGTAAGTAAGGTTCCTCATCTGGAAAAGAAGATCAAAAGCAGGAAGAGAGAAGCTTCCAGGCTCTGGCCAGGCCAGTCTCCATGTGAAAGATAATAGGGAAGAAAACAGGAGCCCCCTGGGTCTAGGAAACTGTGTTTGTGTGTGAAAGGGACATGGTAGATGAGGTTGGCCATGCTGTCTAACCTGGTCTATCCCCCTGCAGCTTATGCTCAACTGCAGCCTCACCAGCTCCTCCCACCGTCGTCATCGAAGCACCCACAGCCTCAGTTTGTGATCCAGCAGCAGCAGCCACAGTCACAGCAGCCACAGCCATTCCGGCCTGCACCCCAAGTCCAGTCCCAACCCCAGCTGGCCCCAATCTCCCCAAGCCTGGCCCTACAGTCCAGCCCAGAAGACAACGCCATGCCTCTGGGCCCCATTACACCTGCCCTGCCCCTGCAGTGCCCTGCTGCCCATCTGCACAAGCCCGGAGGCGGTCAGCAATGCCACCTTCCCACACCAGACCCTGGGCCTCAGAATGGACATCCTGAGGGTGTGTCCCGTGCCCCTCAGCGAAGGTTCCAGCACACCTCCGCTGTGATTTTACAGTTGCAGCCTGCTTCTCCAGTGGTAAGTAGGCTGATATCAAGGCACAGGGAACAGTAGGGAGACCATAGCTCAGGCAGTCCTGTGTGGTCCTGACTCCGGGGTATTTCAGGGTAGGCTGACTGTTGAGATGGTCTCTGAACATCCCCAGGAAGAAGAGAGGGCTCTCCCTGGCTTAGGGTGGCTGAATCTTTACGTCTTTAGCCCGTTGTCCAAGCTCCACAGGGACCAGGGTAGTGTCCAAGAATGCAGAAGGCGATTCTTAGACTCATGTCTGTCCTGCCCCCGACAGCCCCAGCAGTGTGCTTCTGGTGACTGGGAGGAAGCGGTGCCAGGGGAGAAGAGTGCACCTGTGACTCGGCCGGGCCCATCCCCACACCAGCAGGCCATCATCACTGCCATGCCGGGTGGCCTGCCTGGACCCAAGACTCCCAACATCCAGCAGTGCCCATCTCACGGTATGAAGTGTCGGAGGAAGGGGGTGGGGGGTCAGCCTGCCCTGCCACTTCCTGGTTCCTTCTCCGTGGCATCTAGGAGGGGAGGTAAACTACCAGGAACAGAAGGAAAGCAGCACAGCAGCTGGGTAGCTGGAACAGAAGCGGGAGTGAGGGCCTGGGCTGGGGACAAAGAACCATAACCCAGAAGATAGAAAAGCAGGAGGGTCACAGGAGAGGAAGAGTCGGCCTGCGGCGCTCTTGCCATTGGTTTTGAATGTCGCATATATGGGGGCCACGCTGACAGCAGAGGTGTCAGAGGGGGTTCTTGAGGTTAATCACAGCCAGGGGACTGCAGAGTCTCCAAGAGAAGGGACGTGCCTCCTCGGAGAGCCGGAAGTGGGCCTGGAATAGCTCAGTTTGCAGAGCTCATCCGACGGAACTGTGCTCATCTCTGGGGTCTCCATCTGTCTCTCTGAGACCTAGGCTTCAGGACACTCTGCTGGAGTACTCTGCCCTGGTGGGAGAGCCACAGTGGTACCTCCGCCCTCTGTGGTGATCCATTTGCTGGCCTTCTTCTCTGCCAGTCTGCACAGTGATCTTGGCCTAGATCTCAGCCTTCTGAGCCAAGGGCTGCTGACAGTCCAGGGAGGCAGCTCCAGCCGGAATGCTAAGTGTGCGAGAGGAGGGGTCAGAAGCACAAGGGAAACTGGGGGAGACTTGAAGGAGAAGTGTCTGGGGGTACAAAACTATGCACGGTAGGAGAAGTGAGTCTTATACGGAGTGAGGGTAGGGTGAAGGGAAAGAAAGCCACAGAACACCGGTGACGGACACTAGAGAACCAAAAGACGGGAGGAAGTCATCCATTCCCTTTCTGCAGGGCTGGCAAGGACGACAGACTCCTGAAAAGCAGTCCTGGGTCTAGGGTGTGGCTCTGTGGGAGAACACTTGCCTGGCGTGTGTGAGACCCTGGGTTCCATCCCCAACCCTGAAGAAAGGGAGGTGGGAAGCAGGAAATGGTCCCGTTCTCTTATAGAATCCACTCTAATTATCAGAAACTTCCTCTTCTAACTAAGCCAGAACCTACTGGGACTTACCATCATTGGTTGTGATCCTGTCTTACAAATTTGAGAGTCCATCTCACAGTGTTTCTAGGAACTTGTCCTGACTCTAAAGACCTGAGAGTTCTCTGATCCTTCCCCCCCACCCCCCGTGTGACATGTCAAGACCCCCATTCCCATATTTCCCATCATGCTTCTCTATCTATGTCCTACCATTTCACTGATTCTCTTAAATGTAACTCCCTAAATTAAACACATCAATTCCAAATATCAAAACCTACCATCTCAGCTGGGAGGTGGTGGCGCACGCCTTGCCTTTAATCCCAGCACTCAGGAGGAAGAGGCAGGTGGGTCTCTGTGAGTTCAAGGCCAGCCTGGTCTACAGAGTGAGATCCAGGACAGCCAGGGCTGTTACACAAAGAAACCCTGTCTCAAAAAAATCAAAACATACACATACACACACACACACACACACACACACACACACACACACACACACACACACACGAGTCCTTTGCTCACTCATGGTACCCTGAGAGGTAAGCATCATCATCCTCTTCATTCTAGAAGTGGGGACCAAACCAAGAAGGAGCAGCTCCAGGCTGCAGGGCGTCGGCGAGAGGGCAGCACCCTGGCTCTAGCCCAAGGGCACAGCAGCTCCCTCCTCACCTTTGTCAGGCCATCCACAGGAGGCCACACCTTCATCCCTCCATCAGACGGGGAACAGCAGAAGCTGGGTTGTTGTGCTTTTGCTTTTGAGGTTTCTTTGACGGGAGTTGCTGTCTTAATAGGTCTCCTTGGTCTCCAGTTTGCACTATTTTGAACCAAAGTACAATGACTTACGTCTATTCGATGATCTTGTGTGAATTTAGCCCATAGTGCCAGAGAACAACAAATCGTTCATAAAGCTATCCTTGAACTTTCTCTGTCGACCTTTACATAGCTTTCCTCCCTGAATCCTGATAATTGCCCTTGGGGGTCGGAACTTCACCATCCTCGTTTTAAAGATAGGAAACTAAAGTGCAGAGCAGGGATCTCTTGCGTCTGAATTCTGTTATTCATTATGCTACCTTCACTGCACAGCTTGGCTCCAGGTGAGTTCCAGGAATAAGCACTGCCCTGCTCTCTATTCTAGAAGAGTCGAGAAAACTCGGGAAGAAGCAGCCTAGGTCTTTCCAGAATATGTGTTCTTTTACCAACTTGCTGATGGAAGTGTCTCATAGGACCTCTCTGAGGAGCCATGCAGTGTTTCCAGAATGCTGGTAACCAACACTCTTTGTCCAAGTACAGTTATCCAGCAACCCCTAAATCAGCCAGCATTTGCCTTCCTTTTCCTATTTGGTCCATAAGGCCATGGACCAAATGCATGAAATCCAAGCAAGAGCATAATCATAACACAAGCGTCCTGTTCTTGAGGTTCCCATCTTCCAAGAGAAATCATCTTTGTGTAATGGAGGCAACTGCCGGCCACTTGCCTTAGACAGCTGTATGTACTGCGAATGTCTGAATGTCTACTCGGGGACAAAGCCCTATAGGATGTATGGTAAGGCCCAGAGGAATAAGGACTGCTCCCTACCATCAAGGAGCCTAGTGTCTGCTGGGAAAGATGAGCACACAGGAAATCACAATGAAAGCCACAATTTGATAAGTGCCACAAAAGGCTCTTAGGTAAATGCTTTCCAAGTTACAGAGGGAAATGGTACTGCCAAGTGGAGATTATCAGGCTAGATTTCAGAGCGGAAGTGGCATTGGTATAAAGCAGGGGTTGGCAAACTATAGCCCTCGGGCTACATCTATTACATTGCCAATGTTGTACAACCTCGCAAGTTAATTAACAAAATAATACTATTTCACGATGTGAGAAAATACATGAGATTCCGATGTCAGTGTTCTCAGTGCAGCTCTGTGGGAACACAGCTACCACACTCACATATTCACTTCAGCAGCTCTCAGATACAGCAACAGTAGGTTGGAACAGCTGGGGACACAGACCATATGGTCCACACGGGCTGAGGTATTTCCTCTGTGGCCCCTTTCAGAAGTTGGCCAACTGCTGGTCTTTCGACCTTGAAGGATGGGTAGGACTTGGCTTGTAATGTCAAGGACAGGGCCTTTCTGGCAGGACAGTGGAAGTTAAGGCGGAGGACAGAAGCGTGGCCAAGTGCCGGACAGAAATTGAGTGTTCAGTCCCTTGTCATCTTCCTTTTAAAAACCAAATGTGTGAGGGAGAGGGGGAATTGTGAATTCTACCGCAAGGTTTGAAAGTTTGGAAAGTAAAGGAGAAAGAGGAGGAATGGGGAGCAAGAAAGGGAGAGGCATGCAGGAGAGAAAACATGGACGAAGTGAAGCTGGAGTAGGGGAAAAGACGGTGTGGTGGAGGAGGTGGGATGGTGTGGTGGAGGAGGTAGGACGGTGTGGTGGGGGAGGTGTGAATGAAGAAAAGCAATGGCTGGAGATACTGAGACTAGAGAGAAGTCAGGAGTGGGAGTCATTGCGTCCGTCCAGCAGTTACTCTACGGGATGGTGCCACTCTCGTGTCCGTGTACCGCCGGCGCTCCGAGCCTGCGTGCTGCATGAAGGTGCCCCGGCAGGACAGTTCAAGTGAAAACAATGTGTTTGGGAAAGAAAACTAACATTTATTGGGCTCCCACTGTGCACCAGGCACTGCAGGCAATTTGTAAATCAGTTAACCCTCACATTAAACCTGGCGGTAGGGATTACGCCTTTTATGGAGGTAGGACTGGGTCCCTTTGGTCATTACTTCACCTCTGATCCTCGCTCCCAGTGGGGAGGATAATGACCACTTGGAGGGTTATTGTGGACAATAAGGGAGAGGGTGCGTGCACTTCGCCCTGACACGCACTAACCCTCAATCATTAAGACTCGCCTCCGAGACCCCACAGTGAGCCACCGGGGCGGGGGTCACAGGCCACTGGTCCCCAGGGGCCCCGCGCC